CTAATGGCTAGAAGAAGCCCCTGCTGAAGATGTCACAGGATGGCTTCACGGGAAAATGAAACAAGTAGGGCAAAAGGACCTTATGGGAAGTAACGAATACTGGGAAATCCCTCTAAAATACTCGGGCATTGTAACAGCTTGCAATGAATGCTCGGAGTGTTCGGAGTGCCATCCCTGCTGGTTACTGACAGAACAGGGACACACCAGAAGGGGCAGGGAGCCCCTGACCTGATGGCACACAGACTGTATCGGGACCCTTCCCCTGTTCAGAAGGGGCTTCTTTTGCTTTGACTTGTGTGGACACCACCACAGGCATTCTCCAAGCATTCCCAAATTGGCAGACCCCTCTGCATACAATAGCTGCTGCAGGTATTTGCAGCTTATGGGACCCCAGAAGTCATTGAAAGTGATTAAGGAACACATTTCACCAGACATCAGGTACAATGGGAGTAACAAATGCATGGAGACCGGCGCTTTCACCTCCCTGAAAACCTGTAGGAGCTGGGCACATAGAGCGCTACAGTGGAGTGCTGAAGGAAGATCTGAAGACAGAGATCAACACTCTCTCCAGGGCTGGACACATGCCTGCATGAGGTCTTACATGTCCTGAGTGGGTGGTCAGCCCCTGACCTCTGGATATGCTTTCCCAGCCTTGTGTTACTGATACAGCTGCAGATTTGTAGCCAGGAAGCCATACTATGACCTGACCTGGTGGGGGCGGGGGGATAACTAGCTGCTGATAGCCCCTCAGGACAAGAGGTTGATATCCTCTATTGGCCCTCAGAGGTTCAGTCAGTCCGAACGCTGTTGGTGCTCCCTCCTAGCCCCTTGAGGGGAGGGACTAACCCACAACCTGGACATTCATTTTCAATATATGAGTGAGTGGATTAATATTATCAAATACCACAACCCTGGCTCAGTTACTATTACCAAGTGTATAATAATAATTACCATGTGGCAGCTTAGGACTCTTCCTCTCACTTTCCATGTCATGGATAGAAGTACCCCTGGCGTTATGGTTATGTCACTGGACTTCCATGTAGTTAACCACTGTTCAAGTCCCGGACAAGGCAACTTAGAACTCATGTCGGGGGACTAGCCGATGGCATAATGGTTATGTCACTGGACTCCCACATGGCTGACTGCAGTTTGAGTCCTGGACCAAGTGGTTTCAAAATCACACTGATGCGTATGCATGCGTGGCCAAAATCCCAAGAGGAGAATGGAGGAGAGGAGTTGCTGTGTAGCCATTCCCTTGGGGGTGATTTCTCGCTTTCTCTCTCTTTCTGTCTCTCTGGAGAGCGCATGCACCCTATAGTAAAAATCTCTCTAATAAATAAATAAATATTCACACCAGGTCCATGTGCGTGTGTGCCCAAGATCTTGAGAAAATGGAGAAGGGGAGAAGGAATTACAGTGTGGCCATCCTCCCAGGGTGGTGATTTCTGTCTGTGTGTTTCCAGCGAGACACATGTGTGCTATAGCAAAAATCTCACTCTCTTAAAAAAAAAAAGGAAGTGCCCCTGGGCCTGATTGAATATGGTGTACTAAGCCAGGGAGGTCTAGAGTGTCATACTGTCTCAAGATAAAAATCTTGTTTTTCATGTTGCCTGATAATAGAGACTTACCTTTACTTGTGCCATTAAAACATTTTTTGGGGACCAGCAGATGGTGTAATGGTTTTGGGGACCAGCAGATGGTGTAATGGTTTTGGGGACCAGCAGATGGTGTAATGGTTATGTCACTGGACTCCCACATAGCTGTGGTTCGAGTTCCAGACCCGGTGGCTTACAACTCACATTGGGTGTGTGTGCATGCATGCCCAAAATCCTAAGGTGAGACTGAAGGAGAAGGGACTGCAGCATGGCCATCCCCTACAGGAGGCGCTTTTTTGCTTTTTATCT